TTATCACTACACATACAGATTTGCTACTTCCAACATAAATGATTTTTGTAGTTAAAATCAAAGTTAATATTTTCCATCCTCAATGCATTTCTACCAAGGCCACAAGCAAACATTACCCATGTTTAATAATTTGGGGAATAGGGAGAAGAGATAAAATGCTTAATAGCAAAATTTCTTTCAAACTTAGTCGTGTAATCTTTAAAATGTGAATGCAACGTAACAACTGGCAAGCTCTTCCCTGATATATTTCTGACAAAAATGATTTTGAGGTAAACCATTGTTATTTTGTCAATGTCAAAATAATTCTAAGACATATATCTTTTATGCCAGGGACATTATGGGTGTTAAAGTCATTGAATGGATCTCTCTCCCATAATTATTGTGGTCATCAAATTTTGCAAATTACAATTACCTGAAAGGGAGCATCAAGATTTACTAGTATATCCCTTTGCCAATTTTAGGATATATTCAACACTGTCAATACTTTTTAAAATTACAGCCTTTGTTGTCATCCTAAAAAACAAATTTAACTTGCATGGGCATCACTGATTCCAGGGAACTGAAGAGTAAATGGTAATTCTTGGCATAATTTCAGCCACTGTTTATACCAGGTGCAGAGGTGAGCAAATAGAATTTTTTCTTATCACTAAATGAGATTTCATTTGAAAACATTATAGTCCAGGAGCTAAGACAGGAGGGAGAAGAGAAAAGGCTAGGAAACTTACTGAATTATCTCTGCTAAGTTATTTTGAATAAGCAACAATACACACAATGATACACAATCATTTGAGAAAACTATCGTTTATTTAGAAAAAAGGTTACACTGGTAGAATTTGGTAGATTAAAACTTTTTCTTTTAAAAATGTCACTGAAACTTTTCCAGGTGAAGTTCAGCAATACAAAGCTCCTCTAGCTGTAGAATTAGAACACAAGTAACTTTTGATACCCACTCCCCACCACAGATTTATCTAATATAATTATAAGAAAAAATGGCAAGGGACAAGTGAGTGCTGGTAACTTTTTCTTTTTTTAAACAGGTTTTAATGTTGTACATGTATTATATAAAGTGATCCCTAATTATTGCATTAGACACTGCTCCCACTTTGTTTTTAGTGACTAATATTAAAAACAGCCCAAATAATAAATTAAAATTAGTTTTAAAATGAGGTAAATTCAAAATGGTTCAATAATTGTTTATTTTCAGCTTCAAACAATAAAAAGGAAACATTTCAGATTTTTTAAAAAAACTAAACCTGAAGTGAAATTCTGTACACATGAAACCTCATTTGCTTCTTGGGAACTATATGCAGCACATTGTGCTAAAAATATGGAATAGTTAACACTTTCAGCCATTTACTGAAAATAAATATGTAGAAACTAAGCAACAAGTTAAATACAGTAATGTACAACTCAACAATTTAAAGTTTCCTGCATGGAGCAATAAAACAGATAAATGAATAATTTAAGAAGATGCAACTGGGCCCTCTTCATTTGTGATTCTTGGCAATGTACTCAGGAAACTAAATTTCTGGTCACAGCTTGAACAATTCCATTCCAATCTCATCTGAAAGAAACAAAGTGATTATATTGATAGATAAAAGAAGGAAGAAAAGAAGGAATGGGAGGAGGGAAGGTTGACAGAAGGGAGAGGAGGAGGAGGGGGAGGGAAAAAGAAAGCAGAGAGGGAGGGCGGGAGGGATGAAGGGAGGAAGGAAGGAAGGTTGGTTTAACAAAGAAGAAAAATCAGTGAGTTCTATCAACAACATAGGCTTGAGTTAATTCCCTAGATAAGGATGAAACATCTTTGTTTCTTAGTGCCCACTCTCAGAAACCATTCAAGACAGGCAGACTATGATGACTTCAAAATAAAATAAAAAAACATTGAACATTTTATCTGTGAAAGCCCTCAAGTGGGGGAGGGGGGAGGAAAAAATGAAATAGAAACACGTAAAACATTCTTCAGCAACAAGCAATAGCTTGTCAAAAGTAAACAGAACACATAACAACAAAAAGGAACCAATTTTACATGATCAACAAAAAAAGAAAAAAATGACATCACATTTTTCACAAGGGCATGATTTTAATAGTGACTTATATTAAGATGCAATGTCTGCTAAATTATAAAAATTGCTTTAAAAATATATTGACTTAATTATACTTATTTCCTTTCCTTTATGTATTGACATTTTTCAAATACTGCATAATGAAATAAATTCAGAACATAATCATTACAACATGTGGCAAATAACTTATCTGCCTAACATTTTTCTCATTTATTTTTAAACTAATGCTTAACGCATTAAACTTTATTGATGAAAATACTACATTCACATATTTCATAAAACCAGAGCTAGGAGAACCTTAAAAAATAATCACACTTCCATGAAATGCTGACAAATAATTTACATATCATTTCTATACAGCATTCTGTTCACATCAGGTATAATCTTAACATCATAATTATAATTGTGGATACACTAATGTTGAACTTACAATTTAATACTTATAAATCATTGTTCCTGTCCATAACTGATGGATGGATAAACAAAATATGGTACAAATTCATACAATGGAATATTATTCAGTTAATTAAAAAAATGAAGTTGATACATGCTATATATATCATGGATGAACCTTGAATTCATAACTTTATGTGAAAGAAGCCAGACCCAAAAGGTCACATGTTGCATAAGTACATTTTTATAAAATGTCCAAAACAGGCAACTCTATAGAGATAGAAAGTATAACATTTCCAGGAGCTGGGGGAAGGGAGAATTGGGAGCAACTGCTAACAGGTGGGGGATGATAGAAATGTTCTGGAATTAGTGGTGATGGTTATACAGCATACTGAATAGTAAAAACCATTTTAAAATGGCAAGTTTTATGCTCTGTGCATTTTATCTCATTTTCTTAATAGCAAAAAAGTCAATGTTCCAATTAAGAGTATCATGACGGCCATAACTAGAAAAAGAAACAGGTTCTCAGTCATGAAGATGTCAGTCACAACAGGAGTATTACTGAGCAAGGGAAAATTTGGTGATATATTTAAGGGTTAAAAGATAAAACTGCTATTGCTGTAAAAATGTAATGATGATCTTTCCCACTTGTAAAGATGAAATTAAAAATTTTTACAAGAGGCCAAAATCCTCAAGCAATACAATCATCCCAATATTTTCAAATAGGAGTTCACACACAAATGCAGTCTATCTACATCATTAAGGAACTGGTTCCAGGAGGCGATTTCCTCTCCTTTCTGAAAAGAAGGATGAACTAATAGAACAGTGAAATTTTCATTAGATGCTGCTTCTGGATGGTGAATTTCGAGTAAAAATTGTATACACAGGGACCTTGCTGCAAGGAACTGTCTGGAGGTGAAAATAATGTTCTGAAAATCAGTGACTTTGGAATGTCTCATCAAGAGGATGGTGGTGTGTATTCATCTTCTGACTTAAAGCAGATTCCCATTAAATGGACAGCACCAGAAGCTCTTAAGTATGGGAGATATCGTTCTGAGAGTGACGCATGGAGCTTTGGCATCCTCCTCTGGGAGACCTTCAGCTTAGGGATCTGTCCATACCCTGGAATGACAAATCAGCAAGCACAAAAGCAAGTGGAGAGAAGATACTGGGTGTCAGTCTCTCAGCAGTGTCCAGAGTGTATTTATAAAATAATGCTGAAGTATTGGGATTACAAACTTGAAAATCAACCCAAGTTTAGTGAATTTCAGAAAGAAAACTGCCATCAAGAAGAAAGTCACATAGTGATGAAACAGTGCCAAACTCAGCCTTCCAGCAAAATAATATTTTCTTCTCACTAACAATGAGTTTATACCACATTACCTGGAACATTCTCTAAGGTTTTTTAATTAACTATTTATTTTAAATACGGGCCACTTTTAACCACTGTAAATAAGTAACCCCAGGCTCTAACTGCAATGGATTGCATGGATCTATCTTTTTTACACCTAGAACTGTTGCTGTTTCTCAAAGGGTTTCTACTTCAAACTCAGTTCAGAGTTGGCTGCCCTCCATCATAGACACCTTTACTTTATTAGTGCCATAAACTGCATTGGTAACACCATGTCTGCAGAACACAGTCTAACAAAAAGTGGCCCTCCATTCTGCTAAGACAAGATTACCTTTGTAAACATCACCTTCTATTAAGAATTATCTGAACATCCTGATTTTTTTTTCTTTTTACTTGCCAGAAATGGGCCCTGCTGAATTAGTAACATTGCCATTTGCCTATGTTCTATCACGTCCTCCTCCTTTGTTAGGGCGTCAGAAAACTGCATGAAATGACCCCAAAGAGCACCCCCTAAGGGTTGAGGCAGCTGATTTTAAGTGATGTTATTTTACAGAGACCAATGACAGCAAGAAACAAGTTTGAAAAGTAGGGTGATCTGGAGAAAAGAGCAGCTAAACTGATGATCAAAGTAGAGAAGAAAGACAAGTAAAAATTCAGCCTTCTTATTGGAGGTGTGCTTTTATAGACACACACTATCTAATTTTATGATCTAAGTCACCAAGAAGGTCTTAAGAAAAGTCTCAATTGTTCATAGATTCCTCATAAAAGAGCCCTCTTGGTGGCAAAATTTGCTTTAGAGAAAATATATGTCCACCAAATCAACAGATTGTTTTTGGTTAAGTATCTTCACCTCAAAGAAGGCATCCCAGAATTTAGTTCCCTTTATTTTCACTAGTGACTGAAGCTGTCAGGATTTCATGATACTAGCTCTCAAGTTCTTTCTCTTTCTCTCCCTCTCCTTCACCCCTCTTTTTCTTTCTCCCTCACTCCAAGTAAAAAGGCATATATGGATGAAGTTGATAGCTAAAAAGTCAAATGAACACTTAAAAGGAAGAAAGAAGTTAGAGGGACAGCCATCCACTATACTCCTTTCATTTACCCCTATAGTGCTACCTAGGATGTTTCATGTGGGTAAAATATAACTCAGAGTTAAAACTGGGAATTTGTTGACCTGAATCTTAGCATACCCAGGGGTAACTCTCAGGATAAATGCATGTATTAGGGATAGTCACGCTCGGGGTAAATGTGGTATGAGAACCTTTTGTAAGTGTTCATGTCTATGTCCAGATAAAAACAGCACAGCACCTTATTGAATATTTGATCTACCTTAAGTGGAAGAAAGAAATGGAAAATTCCTCCTGTTTTCTCCAGCTTTTCAGTGGCTATGAATATCAGTGCAAAGAACTCACACCAAGTACTTTTAAAAGTATAAAGAATGTCCTAGCTGGTTTGGCTCAATGGATAGAGCATCGGCCTGTGGACTGAAGGGTTCGATTCCAGTCAATATAAAGAATGATAATGAAGATAAAAATAGTTTGTGTTTATCAATGAATCTACATACAGACCCAAATGAAAGCATAATAAACCTGCCCTCAAAAAATATTTTGCAGCATACAAAGCAACTTCTTTTTAAATAGTATATTATCAAATGCTGTAAATAAATGGAACCTTTTTTTGAGAGAAAAAAAAGTCAATGCTGTTTCACATCAATCCCAAAGAGATACACTTAACACCTCTGTACATAGCTCTCCATATGAAGTTAACAGAGTTGCTGAAACCTAGCAAGTAATAAAGAAAAATACTTGGTTGTTTGATTATAAGGAAGGAACGAAATTACTGCCTTTACCAAGATCACAATCTAAGTACAGGGACATGTAACATACTCATATATAAATAAGAATCAGTGACTAGGACTCTGTAAGAAAGCCCACAAACACACATAAGCAATCGGAAACTACTGAGAAAGAAACTTAATTAGACACTCTCTACTCTAACACATTACCAGCATCTAGGACTATGCCTTGACATGGCAACACAGTCAACACAGTCCTAAAATAAGCAATCTTTGAGCACTTCAGTCGAAATAAGGCTCATAACAGTAATTATAAAATCAACTGTTTATAGGGGTTAGTATATAATGGAAACAAATGAAGTGAGCTGGGTGGGGACTGATTGAAATAAAATAAAAATTTAAAAAGACCCACTCTCTGTATAAGGAAGAGGGGGGCACAGCACCTTGGCAGGTCTAGCTGATTGCTGCCATATAAAAATCAGAACACGATATTGCCAGATGTCCCAATTTTTCAAGAGAAACTGAAATTCTGATTTGTCAACTCTTCTGATTTTTAAAGATGATCACTTTTTAAAAATGTTAAATATTGTGTGACTCCAGGAGATACATCTAATGAGCCACGCTCTGCCCAAGGCCTGAGAATTTACAACACTGGGTTTAAAGCATAAAAGAATTGATTAGGTTACACACTGGAGCTGAGACGGACCTGCAAAATATATTAGGCCTTATTGGAGTGGAGGATTAGAATTGGAATGTAGTATATTACAAATACAGATGGAGAGGATAGAGCTAACTGCTAATATTCTTTGAAATCAAGTATAAAGTCCAAGATTGAGCCTCTCAAAATCTGGGAGAAAGTCTCAGTTCAGTATAGCATAGCATCTGGTTCTAAAAGGACTCTCAATGATCTAACTTAACTGAGCTCCACATTCATGAATTGAGGACCACATGTATCAAATTCAAATTGAGAAGCTAAAGGATGGTTCTAAAAAGAAAAATTTAATTGGCATGAATTTTTAAAGATTAAACTAAAGGAAAGGTTAAAGGCAAAGCAGCTAGTAGTGTTCAAGGAACTAAATCAAGGAGAGAGAAGGAATTTGGACAAAGACTTTAGCAATAACAAGTGAGAAAAGATAGAAAACAAGCAGGAAGAATGGTGCAAGTAAAACTGTGAAACAGAAAAAGAAGACAAAAGACTTTGCAAGGAATTAAATCTGGGTCACATTTATATATTGTATTTCTTAACTCTAATGCAATCGTTTTAATGTTTCTGAAATCCGGATGATACTTATAATAAATGTCCTTTCTCTATTCACTCTTCTCAAAAAACAGGTATAGAAACCAATGATTCTTAAAATTAATGGCATCTTTTTGAATCACAGAAATGTGAGACAAGCATTTTACTTTCTGTAGAATGTAAAATAAAATTAAAAACAGCAGGAAGCAGCAGATTTGAGGTAGCCTAACGGTAAATGGTGCTAATCCGAAATGATGAGACCTCTAAAGGTAAAGGCAGAACAACAGAAAGACCTAACCAACCCTAGAATGTATCCAATAGGAGGCAGCTGGCAAAAGGAAATATCAACCTCACAAAATTAAGAGACTACCCAAGAAGAAAGTACAGTACATAATTGTCAGCAAGAAATTTAACAGAATGACCATCATGCTAAATGAACCATAAAAGGGTATCTGAATTAAGAAGCTCTGCTACAAGACCACCAACCTAACACCCCAGGCCAGTCTTTTCCTGCCTTTGGTCCTGAGAGATTATATAGAGAGGTAAAGTACAAATAATCCATGGCCTATGTGAAGAACTCAAAGGAATCTTTAGCATAACTTTCACATACCAAAAAATAATATTTAGGTACTGAGTAAAGAGAGATGGATAAAATCACAGTGAAAATTGTTAGTTATGGTTAGCCCATTCCGAACAAAGACATAAGAGGTAGGGTTTTTGGTTTTCTTTAATAAGGAGACCGTGTGAAAGGAGAAGTAAAAAGCAAAATGCCAAACTAAAAGAAAGGCTAAGCCCGGCTGGTGTTGCTCAGTGATTGAGCATCGACTCATGAAACAGGGGTCATGGTTCGATTCCCAGTCAGGGCACATGCCTGGGTTTTGAGCTGGATCCCCAGTAGGGGGTCTGCAGGAGGCAGCTGATCGATGGTTCTCTGTCATCATTGATGTTTCTATTTCTTTCTCCCTCGCCCTTTACTTTCCTCTATCTGCAATCAATAAAAACATATGAAAATTAAATAAAAGTTTAAGGTGAAGAATAAAAAAAGATTAAGAGTTTATAGTTCACTAGAGAAGATAGATAGTTGTTGAGGTGGAGATGACTAAAACTGAAGAATGGGCAATAATATTACTTTTACAATATTTCTAATTATAAAAAATTACTAAATTCTAAATGCTCTCTCATAACTCTCATTTTACCCCACTCTACTACTTAGATAACAAGCACAGATAACGAAGCAGAAAAAAACACACTATTAGTCAGGAGTTACCTATTTGGAACTGCAAAACCCTGCTTTGCAGACAAAATAACAATAAAAAAAATCTATACCCTATAGCTTATACCCTAATACAGAACAGGCTCTTAGACATTTCTCACTCTCAAAAACAACTGTAAAGAGTATTGGTTTTCTGTATGGTTTTATAAAAAAAAAATGGAAGCAGCAAATAATATTTGGGGGAGGGTACAGACAGCAAGCATACTTGATATCATTAAGAAGTGACAGCTAATATGGAAGCAGGAAAATGGACTATAAAAAGAGTAAAAAAACTTCAAATACAGTCACACTGAACCATTAAATGTAGAGGGTAAATCATCCTACATACCTCAATAATCCTAAGGCATCACCAAACAATAACTATTTAGATGATGACCTGAGTGCTCAAAAAAAGTCTATATTAGGTTCTGAACACTCTGACGACAAAGACAGTGGACTATTGTCCACATACAATTTACTAAAGATGGTTAAAACACTTTTTAAATCTCACATAAAGCATGAATACCTTGAAAACAAAGCTGCAGATTTTAAATTCTAGAACTAAAAGCACAGACCAGACTTTTCAGCTTTGCAAAACCTGGGCACTGGTAGAAAAAGAGGCACAAAAACTTAAAATAAAAATCTCCAAATAACCTGTCTGCATGAACAGGCAAAAAGAACAGAGAACACGAAAGGGCAAGAAGACCTATGTTTAAGTATTGGCTCTGCTAGCTAGAGTCTCTGTCACCCTCCTCAACTTAAACTTTCAGAGTCTCAGTTTTTTCACCTGTAAAATGCAGATGCCACAACCACCTACAAGGCTATGACACTTAAAAAAAGTAATTAATTATACAGAGAAGATGGGAATGAGTGGTGAAAAGAAAGCCAGATGTTCTTAAGTACATCCTGGTGTTAAAAAAAAAAAAAAACATAGCTAATCAGCAAGCTTAAAATGAAAACAGCTTAAAAATAACTGTGAATTTTGTTTTGCATCTATACCCAAAGACCTAGTCATTATATTTAGGTGAAAAATGCTACTTGTACTTTGCAAAATGGATCTAGTTTCTTCATCATCATCATCATCAGACCTCATTTCATAAAATTTCTCTTTAAATGAAAAGGAGGTGAGAGAACACTCACCTTGATGGAAAGTCTTCATTATCTGTGTTTGTCCGAGGACTTATGAGTAGATGACAAATTAAGGGGAAAACTAGGGAAAAAAGAATGGTGTCTCATCTTTTAGTACAATCCCTTAGCTTGCAGGCCTATTTGGCTCTAACTAGCTGGTAGCCTCAAACTCTACCAGTTTTGCTTGTCTGCTGCATCATCTTGCCCTTCAATTCCCCATGCTCCCATCCCAAAGGACTCTGTTCTTTTTCTTCCTCTCAATGATAATACAGACAGAAGGACTCCAAAATCCCTTGGTGGCATAAGACAACCTCAGTCAACAAAGAAGTTTCAAAAATATATCAATTCTCCCACTTCCACATTTCTTATATTTGAGAGGATTAACTGGAGAGACCATTTAAAAGCTAAGAGGCTCTTCAGCATTTAGAGCACGTACTACAAGGGTACAATTCTAAACATGAACAGTATCAAAGCTTTCCATTTCACTGATTAAAAGCATCAATAAGATGAAAAGGATATTGTTTCTTCTCTTCCTTTCCTCCTGAACTGTCCCGTTTCTCTTTCTTTTCTATCTTTTCTTTATCATGCCTGGACTCCTATAAGGAATGGTGGAATTAGTTGGGGAAGGGAAAACCAAATTAAAAAATCAGCTCAAAATCTCTTTCAATCACCCACCAGTCATAAATTTTTCTTCAAAAACTTATTTAATAGGACACCAAAAGCACAAGCAACAACAAAGAATTGGATTTCATCAAATAAACACTTTCATGCATCAAGTTACACTATCAAGAAAGTGAAAAGACAATCTACCAAATGGGAGAAAGTATTTGCAAATCATAGATCTCATAAGAGTCTAAGTATCAGACTATATACAGAATTCTTACAACTGAGCAACAAAAAGACAAATAATCCAATTAAAAATGGCCAAAGCATCTGAATAAATTTCTCCAAAGAGGATATACAAATGGCCAAAAAGCACATGAAAAGATACTCAACATCATTAGTCATTAAGGAAATGCAAAATCAAAACCACAATGAGATGCCACTTCACACCCACTAGGATGGCTATGTAATAAAAAATAAAATTTAAATTAAAAAATATTGAAAAGAATGTAGAGAAACTGGCCCCCTCATGCATTGCTGGTAGAAATATAAATTGTGCTGCCACTGTGGAAAACAGTTTGGTGGTTCCTCAAAAAGTTAAACATAGCATTACCATATAACCCAGAAATTCCACTCCTGGGTATATACACACAAGATTTTAAAACAGGTATTCAAACATATACTAATAGCAGCACTATTCACAATAGCCAAAAGGTGGAAAACACAAAAGTCCAACAAATGGTCAACAAATGTGGTATATTCATACAATGAAATATTATTTAGCCATATAAAGAAATGAAGTACTACTGATTCATGCTACACTATGGAAGAATCTCAAAAACATTATGCTAAGTGAAAGAAGTCAGACACAAAAGGCCACTTTATTACATGATTCCATTTATATGAAATATCCAAAACTGGTAAATCCACAGAGACAGAAAGCAGATTAGTTTTTTTCAGGGGATAAAGGGAGGGGAAAATGGGGAATGCAGCTTAATGGGTATGGAGTCTTCCTTTGAGGTGATGAAAATGTTTTGGAACTAGACAGAGATGGTGATTGCACAACACTGTAAAGATACTAAATGCTTGTATACTTTAAAATGACTAATTTTGTTATGTAAATTTTAACTCAATTTAAAAAATATTTAAAAGGAGCAACCTCCCTTCTAAAGCATATAGAAATCTTTAAACTATCACCTTATAATTTTCTAAAATTGCTTTTAATAACTATAAATTTAACAAGTATAAATATAAAAAATATACATATTTTGAATATACAACAAAATAATGCTTTACACTTTAGTGATGACTTGCTTACTTAATGACTGATGCATGAGATGTAGTTTGAATATCATCCGTTAGTAAGTATCCAAGAGAATGCACACTACACTTAATGTGAGAATCAAATACAAGTTGCAAACACATAAGGTTATTAGGAGAAAATGTTATAAAAATGTTGAGAATCACAAACATTTTTTACTTTATGACACTAATGATCAGGGAGAATACATGTAACCATATTTTAATCTCATGAATACAGATTAATTAAAAAGCACTGTTAGTGGAGGAAAAAGAAAACACAAAAAGAAAGGCTGAAACTCAAGGAACAGAAATAGGTGGGAGTGGAATGGAGAGGAAAGGAATTTCAGAGGTAAACTAATTCTACCCTCCCAGTAATTTGGGACTGAGTTGGTTTGAATTACCCAGATAACCTGCCTTCTCTTACTGTCTCATCTTTCCATCCCAAATAATTAACAAAAGACTATTTGACTATAAAAGAACCTCAATATTTGCTGCATTTTCAAAGGGTTAATTTTCTAAGTAAAGTATATTGTTCCTTTGTTGTCCCAATTTACCTTTTTGCCACTGGAGGAGATTTTATCCATTTTTTCTGATTTAAATGAATCACCGCCTTTTTCTTTGCCTGAAGATTTGGACTTATTTTTTTCCTTGTCTTTCTCATTTGGATAAGGAGACTCACATGGGCTTTCACTTTTGTGTTTTGAAACCGCCACTAAAATTATAAAAGAGAATCATGAAAGCCATTTCCAATTCAGTTTGACAATTGTTTCAAGAGTATTGGTAAGTCTACCTACTTGTTCCATTTTCCTCTTTTCGCCTCTTGGTTAAATCCGGTAGCACTTCACGGTCATTGTTTGAGTGATCCTAGAACCAAGAATTGTGAACTACATTGATCAAGAGTTTTTTGTTTTGTTTCGTTTTTAAAGTATTACTTTTATGCAAGAAGCGCACAGCATTGTAGAATATTTGTGATAGTTTCACATACTTGGTAAAATGACATGAAAGACAAGCAGAGCTGGGAGAGATTATTAGGCTGAAGATCCTTATTACTGTAGAAGATTCAAACACACTTTAGGATGAAAATACCAATTAAAACACTAAATAACAGATTGCCATGCAATAAACTAGTACTTTAAAAATAGGCAACAAACATACTATTGTACACAATAACGAGTTTTCCAAACTAGTTTTAAAAAATTACAAACCCTTTTCCGTTCCTTCCTGTCCTTTTCATCTTTTTTCTCTCTTTCTCTGGATCTTTCCCTTGACTTGTCCAAATCTTTCTTGTCCATTTCTCTCTCCTTACTCTTGGACAGTGGTGAAGGAGTATGATTAAGGTAGAGCTGTTAAATTAAGGCAACATTACTAAAGATTATTAGTTTTCCAGTATTGGTATCATTTGCTTGATTGTTTATTTAATGAAAGACAATTGGTAGTGAGACCCCAAGTCAAAACTGGTGAGCTGTCTGGATTACAAGAGGTAAAATAAAAGAGCATGGCACAAATTATGCAAAGACTTCAATTCTTGGGCTTATAAAATTACCAGTTCATTCCTGCCTCGACTGAGATTCATTAGTAAATTCACAAGCTACAGTTCCTTTTACAGCTCTATTGAGAAGACCTATAACCACCATTACAATAGTCCGTATGTGAAAAATAGTGACTAGACTTGCTCTACTGTAAAAAAAAATTACAAACCTCTACAAAATCATGGAAATTTTAAATAGTTTTACCATCTACTGATAGGTAATCAATGACAGTGAGCATAAGTATAAAATAAAGCCTAGACATAACTAATAAGTCTTTTCTACCTCAGAGTATATCATGCATAGATTATCCTAAATTATTTTTACAACTGTAAAGGCTACATAGTCTCCACTTCTGAAAGCACTCAAATTTATATCTAATTATCACAACTAACTGTGAATTTTGCCTTACTAGTTCTAAATAATTCAGTAAACTATATTAGTCAGCTGTGGATGATGAAACACCTCAAAGACTGAAAAATGATAAATCAATGTTCTCCTCTGCTTATTCTTTCTCTGCCAAACGGCCCATAGGCAATAAAACAGCTAAAAATCAAGGATTGCTAAGTCTAGTAATTAAGAGATAACTTTACTTATGCAAGTTGTAAATATGGAAATCTACTATAAAAGAAATCATTCAGGAAGCAATCAAATACCTAACCTTACAGCATTTATAACTGTGCTACAAGCTTATGTTCAAGACATTAAAAGTATTAGGCAGCAGAATACTGAATATAACTTGTTACATAACTACACAATTCTAGATATACCTTAGCAATGAAAAGAACAGTGAGTCAGAAGTCAAATATTGTTACACAATGAAATCCTTTGATATTCAAAGGAATACATGAAAAAGACAAACATCACTTTGAGAATTAAAGAAACACATTTTTTTAACACCACCAAATATTTTCAATTCAGCTGGCTCAGAAATAGTGCTATAGCAATACAGAAGTAGATTCTTTAAAATTTCAATGTTTAAAAGTTGGTGATCAACTGAAATAAAATGTTCATTATTAACAATGAGCAAGAGAATGAAAAAACAGTCATAAAAGTGTTTGTGCAAAATGTACTCTTGCTGGGTATAATGCACTAAATGACACTTCAAGATTTTCTGTATGCGAGTTGTATTCCTGTCTTAATATTACTCATGAAACTGACAAGACAATGGAAATAATATATTACTGCAATACTTGAAAAAGATTTCTCTAAAGGAAGTATTGCTTAATTCTCCCAATAGAAACAAAAAAAAATAGTTTGGGTACAAATAAGCACCCATGTGCACACACATACACACGCGCACACACATACACAAGAATGAAGTTTTTAATTGTGCCTAACTTGAATTCTGTATTGCTAGAAATTGAGAAACCTAGAAAATTTTAGTTTAGAAATGTATTCAATTATATTCCTTCTTTCTACCCTCTTAAGAACAGTTCTGATCACAATACTCTTTTCCACAAAAACAAAGTCTCTCATTACCTATGGGATAAAATGCATACTCTTCAGCTTAGGTATTCCAAACTCTTCGCAATCTTTGCACAATTATATTCTACTAGGGAGCACCCAATACATTCTATGCTGTGGCTACTACTGTTCCCTAACACCCTACCCTTCCCAGTTCTCTTCACCAAAATGGTTGTTCACTTTTACCTTAATCCAGTGGTTCTCAACCTTCTGGCCCTTTAAATACAGTTCCTCATGTTGTGACCCAACCATAAAATTATTTTCGTTGCTACTTCATAACTGTAATGTTGCTGTTATGAATCATAATGTAAATATCTGATATGCAGGATGGTCTTAGGCGACCCCTGTGAAAGGGTCGTTCAACCTCTATGAAAGGGGTCGTGACCCACAGGTTGAGAACCGCTGCCTTAATCTCTTAAAATCCTACTTAGCCTTCAAATTCAGCTCAGAAGTCATCATCAGTTTGACTGTCCCTCGACTCTGCAACTCACTTTCTGGTAAACTCATATTACTTCATATTAACCTTTTTGTGATAAGAATTCCCTGTTAAATTCATGTCATTTATTTTTTACCATAGTTTCCAGTATGGTAAGGAACTAATGTATCTTTTCTGCTTTTACACACTTACTAGTGCCTTGTACACACACACACAGTGAGTACTCAATAAATGTCTGCTAAATAAAATTAATGATTTGTTAAATTGATCTGCATGAAGCATTGTTGATTTTTGGGTTTTATTTGCTTTATTTTTGACATTACGTTCATTAGATCCAAAAAACAATTTGATTGATTTTCAAAATCTGTTTAAGAGAACACCGTCTTTTTTTTTAAGAGAGGAAGTAGTAAGATTGAATTAAATCATTGTAAGTTTAAAAAAACAAGACAAACACGGTAAAAGAGTTAGGAACCCTGTCAACGACTGTTGAAATGGGTGCTAAGAATCAAGGAACCATAATGTCTTTTCTTGCAATTTGTGTTCATTGTGGTAATAAGAACATCTGAGGAATCTTAACTGTAGTCCAAGTTTTGATACTGACAAGTTATATGCCACTGGGAAAGGACCAAGAACGTCTTCAGTCTCTTAGTCAAAAATACACTAACACCTATGCTATCTACCTCATAGCAATGTAATGAGCACAAAATGAGATAACATATGTTTCTCTCACATATGTTTATTTTCAAAAGGTTTTCACAAATGTAAAGAACCATAATCTTCATCATTGATTAGAAAATCCAGTTAACTTTATATAACAGCAGGTTTCAAACTGCTTCAAAGTATGTTTCAGAAAATAAATATTCACAAGGCAACATTGTAAATCCATAAATTTAAAGTAGCCCACACAAGCCACTGATGATTAAAACTGACATACACAATCCCAAAATGGTTGTGAAAACCTATTATATTGCAATACATATTTAATGTAGCCAATGAAAAGTTTTACTTTAAAAGAAAACATTCACAGTACAAGCTGACACTCTTTTGATTAATACAGTATATTCTAAAAACAATGCTACAATTTCAGGACACAGGCACAATGGCTAATCTAAACTGTTAAAAATTAATGTTTATTTGCCCAATATCCACAGACATTTCATTATAAAGCTATAGATCTAGAAGCAATTAGTACTGTCAACTGGCTTTGTTTCAAAATTTCATTTTGTATTGGTCCACCAGTAAAGAATCATACTTAGATATATAAGAGGAGGCAAAGTAGAATATAAAAGTAAAGGAGAGTACAAGTTTTATAATAATAAAGACAAAATAACATGAACAATGGACAATTCAACTACAATAATGAAATGAACTCTGTAATAAGATATACAAACTGCACATTATTTTTAGTAGCAGTACTACTCAAGAAAGTAGAGTAATAGGCATGAATTAATACTGACATGTAAATGCAACCATCAAGTTGAGTATTCCACCTCCAGGAAAATGATTAGTTTATATTGACCATATTTCTTGATATTATGCTGCAACTACCAAAAAGGTAGCTCAGCATAGGCAATATAAATAATTTTACGGACTAAGATGGGCTCAGTTTTTAGAATGGTTATGTAAATGCATCAAATTTATGTTTTGGTCTTTTCAGGCTGTCTAAAAAAGTCAGAAAACAGCCTGACAGATTTGTTTTAAGAAATTATATAAGCCTACTCCCCAAAACAAGCCAACAATGTCTTCCCCAAACCTTAATTTCCAGATTTTGAAGCATGAAAGGGTAATGCATAACACAGCAAGCAAGGAGAGATTATAGAAATGTTGCCACATTACACACATTTTAGAACAATCTCATTAAAAGGGACCACTGTCATCCATTGTTTCAGTTTGTGATAGGTATTCATTAAAGTTATCATACTGAATTTACTAGGGCAAGGGTAAAGAATTTTTTTGTATTACTTAGGCATGATGATTTTAAAAGACTCAAACCTTTGCTGAAGACTCCTTGAGTTCGATGAGACTGTCCTGTAGAAAATGAATGGAGATGACAGGTGAGCTGGCATAGTTCTCAGAACCCAGAAGAACTTTGGGAGATATGGCTGTAACCTGGAAATAAACCAGCTACTTCTTGTGAGGATAAATCTCGTGATGTCATTAGTACATGAATATCAACAATAAAAAAAAAGCAAAACTATGTAATGGAATTGTAATGTTAAAAAAACTAAATAAATTATATGTACTCAATGTAAAAAATAAACTGACTCTGCTCAGAATTTAAAAATAAATGTCAATGCCACATTTTCCATTACACTGTAATTTACAGGTAATGTTAAGAGGCTTAAGAAATCAAGCGATTTTTTTTTCCTACACAAAAAGTTTAAAATAGTGGGGGTCACTGTGGAAGAACAACACTATCGTGCATTTTCATAGTTTTTATTTAATTGGGAGGTTTCCATTTTTACTTTACTGTGACTCAAACATAAATAAATATATATATTTCATATCCTAGCCAGAAAACTCAGTGGCATTATATTAAAAGAAAATAAAATGTAATATTATAAAAGACTGATTTTTTTTTTTTTGCAAAGTGCCTCTGATGGTGCATCTCATACCTCCCAGAACAAAACAAAGCAAAACAAACAAACAAAAAAAAACAAACAAAAAAAAGCACTTCAAAGAAAGAAAAGGAAATAAATTACGGTATTCCACCACAGTGCTCTTGATGAAGAATTAGTTAACTTACAGTTTTAAAGTTCAACGTATTGCAAATTCAAAGATTCCATGAAATTAGATGGCTTTAGAATTAAAATTAAATATCAAGCAAGGAATGGCTACCCTGAGTCTTCAAGAAGGCTACACCCACGATTTTGTGCTGCAGTTGAATGCCTGGGGTTTCTCTTTGCTTGGTGGTAGGATTGGATGCCACATCTGCTTTTATCATAACGCAAGGTTCAACTTGTTGGGAACCCAATGGGTATAAACAAACCTCCAAGGGAAGATACAACAGAAGCTGCATGCTCACTGAATATACACTACAGGAGAACTGATCACCAAGGAGACTTTAAAATGGAACTCCTTTCAAGATTCCTTCTTAGAAGGCACACATCGGTATGATGCTCATCAAGAAGCTTGATGAATTCAGAGGTATCTTGTTTATCCTGTGTCATCCAGGAAGTCTTCAGTGCTATATATTCTTCAATATTTATGCCGAAAAATAGGCTTCATTCTGCTGAAAAGATTCATTTGCTTGTAGCCACCATTGCACTCCAAAAAGACTGCTTAAAGCAGTGAGGCACTTCTGGGTAAAATTTCTCTTGCACTTTGAAACACTATAAAATTAGTGCTCAGTCCTTGAAGTTGTAACATTTTTTATTATAAAAATACTCAATAGGAAAAAATATCAGTCCACCAATATGTAAAAAATTCATTTTCTAATGCAACATGAAACCTCCAGTGGCTCCAGTGAATACTTGGCATAAGACTTGAAGGAAGTCAGGACACGTATTCCAAACAGGTGAGCCTAATATGGACGCTGCCTTCCTCAGGCTATACTAACCTTTACTGTTGAGGAATGTGATGGAGAAGGATGGGTATCAATTTTGCGGCGTTTTTGTTCTGTTGGGGGGAGGGAAAAAACAACAATAGTCACAATAAGACATATTTCCACTTTTTTCAAACACTTCAAAATATGACCAACTTTTAAGGTCATCAAGTATTATTTGCCCCAGTAAAGTTCCTAGATAACTTGCCAAACAAGGAGACAAGCGCAAATACACGTTACAAAGACCAAATATGCGTTACACAGGCAAACAAATATAAAGAAAGGCAAACTTGCCCCTTTCAGGCTCAGTAATATCTGATCGGGGAACCGGTGACTTCAAGGACCCAGAAACTGGAGTTTTTTCTCCTCCTTTTACATTTTCCTTTGATTTCATTTCCTTTGCTATATCTCTTTCTCTGGATGGCTCCTTCTCTCTTTCCTTTTCTTGAGTCGATTTTGATTCTACGTTGGGGACAGTGGTCTTGAATTTCTCATCTTTAGCTTTGTCTTCCTTCTTGAATTTTTCTTTCTCTTTGTCAGACTTAGGTGTTCTTTCCTTCGTCTCTCTTGCTTTTTCATCTTTATTTGGTCGTTCTTCCTTCGGTTTGTCTTTACCATCTTTACCAAGTACCCTGGCCTCTGGAGTAGTAGCTGGAGTCTTTTCTCTTTTCTCCTTTTCTTTCCCTTTCTCTTTGTCATTTTCTTTAATGATTTTGCTGCTATTAAAGCCACTATTGCCTGTCATTTTCTTTAACGGTTTTGCTGATTAAGAATAAAAATATAAGATTTTAAGAGAAACAGTCATAAAATATATTTCATGTTTTTAATCATTAAGGGTTTCTTACTGACTTGTTCCTACCTGTTAGAGCCACTATTTCCATTGCTTGAATTCCCTTTTGGTGTGGCACTAGAAGCTTTATTAACAGCTTTCACACCACACTGAGATCTCTCCCTTGATTTATCTGAAATAAAGGTAAGATTTTATTTGACAATCCCCTAAATATAAGTAAACTACAATTTCATAGCAAAATGATTAGAGTTTAATTAGAAGAAACAAAGGATTGATTTACTCCTTGACAGTTACATACTCCTACCTGGGGAATAAAGAAGTAATTGTAAGGCAGCATTTTACTTGGCATGTGATACAAAACATTTCAGTTTGTTGAAACAAACCATATTATTGATAAATTTCTACAAATAAGCATACCATTCTCCTCAGCACCGCTTTCATCAGATTTAGATGCACTTCCTATGGACGATGAAGAAGACCCACCACCAGGCCCATTTTGTACACTGGCAACTGCATTCCTCGGAGGGGGGTCTTTGTGATGAAACTCATTTTCAGGTATCATGTATGACTTTCTACTTTTCAACTGCCCAGAGTAGCTGAAAGTCGCACAAAGTGTTTAAATATACAAATACAAATCAAAAAGCACAAACATGAGGTTTAAAAGAATAAAATTAGCAAGGTAAATAAAATTTCAATGTAAATTAATCCTTAAACTAAGATGCCTTTTTTCACTATTGAAGATCTGATAACCCAACTGATGATAAAATTATATTTCCTCAAAACCAGTACAGATTATATGACTTGTGAAACTATCATCCAGTATAAACCGGAAGCTGATAATCAGAAGTGACAACTCTCACCAGCCTGTGGGAACATGATCGCATAATCTCCCATAATTTCCTGAAGTAAAGCAGAAAATAAACTTCAACACTGTAAAAACAGTTTAGTCTTCAGAATCCTTCTGTTATCTAGTCTCATAAATCACATTAAAGTATAATTGTGTTACCCCATAGCCAATGCATATAGATCAGGCCTCTTCTCTTTTTCTTCTTGGCAGATTTTATGCACTCTTCTTTCCAAAGCCTGGCCCAGATTCAAAACTTTTGGGTACCAAGGAAGTATTTTTGTTAGCACAATCAAGATATTCCTGATGTGAGTATATTCGCCTGTTTCAAGGCAATGTACCGATGCCTACGACAAACATTTTAAGATCCATTATTATAAAAGTGTAAGTATGAAGAGAGAAAAAAACACCTTTGAGAAACATATTTTTTACCTTGGTTAGTTTGTAATGCCATTTATGTACAACATGCCGAAAATTTTCATAGTCTAATTGATCAGCTTTATTTCCACCATCGAATCCAGTTGCCCGTAATATAGTAAGGAATCCTGGATAATTTCCACATTCCTAAGAGGCAAAAATAGGTTGTTACTTTTTTCTTTAATATATTTTATTGATTTTTTAACAGAGAGGGAGGGAGAGGGATAGAGAGTTGGAAACATCGATGAGAAACATCGATTAGCTGCCTCCTGCACACTCCCTACTGGGGATGTGCCCGCAACCAAGGTACATGCCCTTGACTGGAATCGAACCTGGGCCCCTTCAGTCCGCAGGCTGACACTCTATCCACTGAGCCAAACCGGTTAGGGCTAGGTTGTTACTTTTAAAGAAAAATCTGTCCCCCCAAAGTAGCAGAGGCTGAAACGCAAGTAGACTAGATTAATAATTCTATGTGAAAACATGATGTGTATTTGAATGATAGGTACTTTTCACAGAAAGGCTCAGTTTATTCAATGATATTAATCTGGAATGTTATCAGTTTGAAATAGGATAAAAATATATAGCGCTTTTAATAATGGATGAATTATGTTAAAATTTTAAACACTGCTTTACAACTGAATCTTAAACTCAGCTTTCCTTTTAAAACTGAACAACCTAGAGATTTTACTGTGTCATTATATGCGTGGGTAAAATATAAGCATATTAGGCATACCTTTTCATATGTGGCTCTATCACTGTGCCACCTGGTTACAGTCTCTAACATGCAGCAAAGAAATCTCCCATATCGACTAGCTTCATTTTCAGTACAACTTGCAACTGTGTAAATTATATCAGAGAAAACCTACAGGAAAAAATGTTTGAGAAGTAAAAAAACAAACACAAGTAAAAATTAGTTCAAAATATCAAAAGATCATGTTACAGTAAATCATAATATACCAAACAGGTAAGTTTAGTCAAAATTTATCTTCCCTTTTTACATTCACAATCCCAGAGACCTTTAAAGATTTTAGCTTTGGTGAGGAAACAGCACATTCATAAAGCAACAACAACAACAGAACTTTTATAAAGAAAGCTGATTTACAGTGACAGAAGAAAACAGCCATCACTATTATTACATCATAACTTCTTTGACAAAGACTTAGCCATAGTTATGACTGGGGTTAGGGGGAGAGTAAGCAGAGGCAAGTCTGATAGAAACCAAAAATAGGCAGATGACATGCTGTAACATATATTACATTTTAAACTACAAAATGCAATAATTAAGAAAAATGCCAGGTGCAAAAATCTGTGAATGTGACCATGCTGAAAAGCATCCCTGATGTTATGCTATATACAAAGTTATAAGCTTTTCTGTTATTTTTGAGGGGGTGACAGTTAAAAATGGAGATGAGTATAGCAAACATATAAACCCAAATGTTGAGTTAATAGATTAATTAGGGGTGCTTTTTATCTATCGGGCATTATTCAAAGTGCTTTTGTGTATAGTGACTCATTTAATACTCATAACAATCTTATGAAGTAGGTACTATCCCATTTTACAATAAGAAAACTGAGGCACAGAGAGGTTAAAAAACTTGCCAAAGATCATGTAGCTAGAAATTAGCAGAGTTAGGATTCAAGTTCAGGCATTTGGCTCTTGAGTTCATGCTTTTAACCACACACACAATACTTATATAGATTATAATGTTTAGCTATCTTTGCATGAGACTTTTTTAAAAAGTTTGCAATAAAAAGAACTTACTCGATCATAACAAAGAAGTGTGGAAAAATTTGGAGTTTTCTGTTGATGTACCAATTCAACAAAACGAGCACAGTAAACAGCATCAATTGCTGAAAAAATACATCGAGGAAATATACACAGCTGTAGAAATTTTGTGATGGTCTCATTTTTGGTAGATTCTAAAAATAAGGGAAGGATATATTAAGTGGTAAACTTCTTCCTCAAGTGCCTCAAGGCCACTAAACATGACAACATATTACCTTTAGTGTAGAGAATGCTATACAATCACAAACTACTACTTACAGTTAGCAACCAAAGGGTCATGCCTAGAATAAGACTTTCATTTTTACTCTGTGGACACTTTTCTATCTATAATTTATCCAGAAATAAGATTTTATACAAGAAGTTAAATGATATCCACCAATTGTAGTTATAAGCTAATTAATTTTATCAGCAAACTAAATCAATTCCTTCAGTGAACATGTGAAGTTGACTCTGCATTATTGAATAACAAAAGAATGGGATAGTGAACCGAGTTGAAATACAAATATAATACACTTGAACACCTCCAGTTTTAAAGGTCTGTTTTTGTAATTTAGCAGTAGTAGGAACGTAACAATTCCAATAACATACTTGCTAAAAGCCAGTTGTCCTTTTCCAGTTTCAGTCTCTGTAGAACTCGCTGTACATGTTCCATCTGTTTCTTTTCTTCTTCAAGAAGTTTGTCCTGAAGGGCAGTACAGCGCTCCTTCTCTTTTTTCTTTTTATTTGGAGGCTACAAAGTATAAGTTAGATATTTTCCTAACTACAGGCACATTGTCTCCCTTTCTTTTAATTAAAAATTTCAAAAAGAGATAAATGCTATTTTATATTCATTACTTCAACAGGGGTGTTCAGGAGTCTATTTAGATGTGCTTTCACCTCCATTTAACAAATTTAAGACAAAGTCACCCAGTCTTTTTACATCATCAAAACGGGCTACCTTCCCAACACCGGTACCTTTATTCTGAGGCACAGAGTGATCTTTGACTCTTTCGTCTCCTTCATTCTAATATCAAAATACAAGTCTTGTGCATTCCCACAACCTCCACCATATGCTCTCAGCACTTCACAATGACTTACCTAAAAAGCCACCTGGCTCATCTTCAGCCTACTGCTAGTCCTTTCCCCTATCAAATGCATCCCTCGTACCATTGTTATAATTTTTCTAAAGTAGCATTTTTATCGTTAAGTCCCTCCTCAGAAATCTAAAATAACCCTCAATTTTATCAAGCCCTCTTTTCTAGTATTCACTATTCTATATACACTGGCCCCATTCAAACTTATCACTGAGTCCACTGGCTACTGTAAAAGTGGTCTCCTTAAACTTTGGACTACTTCATACCTTTGCTCGAGCTCTAGGGTACCCAATTTGCCTTCATTATTTTCAAACCTAATCTATCTTCAAGGCCTACCCAGCTCAAGATTCACCTCTTCAATAAAGCCTTCTCCTAAAGAGTTCTCCTCTTTGGAACTACTATTGCTCTTGCAATTGGAACCACACTGATCATTTTTAAGTTCATTAACATAGACTTCAGTAGAAAAGCAAACTCAAATACCTTTTGAATGATCAAAACTTCCATATACTTACCAAGCTCTCGGCCCCAACCATTGAGAGGTCACTATTAAACCCACTTAGGACAATATTATATAGCAACAGGATTGTGGCTTTAAGGAACCCAAGCTAACACAATTTCAAAGTATGGGTAATGCTAAATTAATACCATGATGTTATTGTACTTGAGCTACTATAATAAAAACCTACCATTTCCTGATTGTCATCAATTGCTTTCATCTGGACTTTAAGTTTACTGACTTCCCGTTCATAGCTGGTGTGTGGAACTGCAAGGTCATACATTGTCAATGACCAGAATGTGGCATAGAATCGAGGGCTGATGTCATCCCAGACTTTGGAAACGTGTAATGAGACTACTGCTTCATGGACAGGGGCCATCACCATTTCACATGATGTAATATACTTGTGAACTTTATGTTGCTGTTTACTTCCCTTCTCTGATTTTTTAAGTTCGTCATACTTGGACTGGAAATAAAAAGTAAACACACACACACAACACAATTTATAGCATTGACTTTCAGTGTATAAAAACCTATGTTCCCCAAACTGAGCTACCAAGTGAAATAGAGACAGACTCATAGGTAAAGAGCAGGAAGACAGCTTAGAGTGTAGTAGTAGAGGGACTGAGGAGGGAGGCTCTTTCACCTTGCTTCTTAGTGGGTGTTTTAAATCGAGAGAGAGAGAGAGAGAGAGAGAGAGAGAGAGAGAGAGAGAGAGAGAGAGAAACTCATGGACCTGGACAACAATGTGGTGATTGCTGAGTTCAGGAAGGGGGTGGGTAGAAGTGGAAGAGGGCATAGAAGGGATACATAGTGATGGGAAAATAAATTAACTTATAAATGAAAAAAATCTATGTTCCCTTTTCAAATATCAGAAGATGATCAATCAAAACTGTTGTAAGAATTCTAGTTTCTAATCAAAAAGACATTTATTTTAAGATAAATCATTCCTGGAAGCTGTTCCAATCTTTAGTCCTGTATGCTCACTAGCAGTTTTTCAGAAGATTCTTATTGAATCTGACCTGTTGAGTAAGTGAATAAGGTATGTATGGCCCCGGTCCATTCCCCCTAATCTGTTCTCTCTTATTGATGCGTCATGTATTGGACATGTAGGGTTTCCACTCCTGCATTTGAGATATTCAAGTGAACCAAGTAGAAGGTTATAACACTAGTAAAGAGGCAGGATGGAACTACTACAGCCAAAAAGGACAGAATGTTTTATCACTACATGTAGTCCTTATCAGCTGTTACAATTTGTCAATTAAGAAGCTAGATCAGCCCTAGCTGGTATGGCTCAATGGATAGAGTATTGGCATGAGGACAGAAGGGTCTCAGGTTTAATTCCAGTCAAGGGCATATGCCCAGGTTGTGGGTTTGATCCCCAGTAGGGGGCATACAGGAGGTAGCCAATCAATGATTCTCTCTCATCATTGATATTTTTCTCTCTCTCTCTCCCTCTCTCTTCCTCTCTGAAAACAGTAAAAATATACTTTTTTAAAAAAGAAGAGGAAACTGGATCAGCCCTAGCTGGTTTGGCTCAATGAACTGCATCTGAAGGGTCCTGGGTTCAATTTTGACCAAGGGCATGTACCTTGGTTGCAGGCTCCATCCCCGGCCCTGGTCAGAGCTCATGTTGGAGGCAACCAATTGATGTTGCCTCTCTTACATCAATGTTTCTCTCTCTGTGTCTCTCCTCCTCCCTTCTACTCTCTCTAGAAATCAATGTAAAAAAAATCCTAAAAAAAAGAAAAATATCCTCAGGTGAAGATTAACAAAAAAAACAACAACAACAAAAAATAAGCTAGACCAATGCTAAAAAAGGTTATGAGAAAGTCACCATAAGACTAGTAAGTAGGTTGACCAACTGTTCAGGTTTGCCAGTAATTTAGGGGTTTCCCAGCATTTAAGACTTTAGTGCTAAAACTGGGAAAGTCCCAGGCAAACCAAGATCAACTGGTCACCCTAATGCCAAACTAAGATTTTCTATAAATGGCTATGGTATATTGGAGTTTAAAGTCTGTGGGAACTGACACTAGCTTTTTTGGCCTCGTTGATTTATCCTAAGTAGGAGGAGAGCCAGAGAAAGGCCATACTCTTAACTGTATGAGAAAAAGAATGTTAGTACAATGGGAAGAATTACATTATTAGTTCACAGTGTACGCCAAATATCAAAAATAAAATAATATGAGGTGGAGCTATTACTATTGTCTCATGTCCCTCAGTCTCTTTAGGATGACAGAGGTCTCACCCAGAAAATTCTGTTTGGGTTAGGCAGCACAAATGAAGATGAACCTGAGAGGAAATCTAAAACTAGCTGCTTCATGTTAGAAAAGCACTTAATCATTCACAGTTTGTGCTAAACATGAAACCCAGAACTAAAAGGTCAGAATTAAAGGTTCTGCATCAGGATAGGCAAAGATGGCAAAGACTCTTCCTTCCTAGGTGCAGCTTTACCCCAGGCTCGCTGGAATTGAAGGCATACCAAGTACTCTTTGTTCCAGAGAGTATCTCAAGCAGGCTATGAGAATAGTACAATTATTCTGGAAGTAGGAAGATTTATCTCATGTCATTCACATTTAACAGAACATGCTGATAACTACTGAGACCACACAGGTGACAAAGTTACAAAGAACATTACTTATGAAGTCCCAATTACATCAGAGACCTGAGAGAATAGTAGCTGAGATAAGAAAGGATTTTAAAATTTTGAGAGCAGGTCCTAATGATGGTAACTAACGAATTCCTATGAGCAGAATGACATCTGCTAAGGTTCTAACAAAACAAGATAAATCCAGGATCAAACTACTACATAAGGTAACTTAGCTAGCTGGTTTGAGTGAGATCTAGATGAACTGAGGGGAGCCTTTCAGACCCATGTTGCAAGGTAGGTCTCAGCAATTAAAATTCAAATATTAGGTTATAGGTATGAGAGGGTTATATGATAGCCCCAGTCTCACCAATCCTCTGTTCCTGGATCTGTTACTTCTATTGCTGTCACCCCCTATTCCCTAGGCTTGATCAGTTACATTGCATATTTACCTAGGATGAACATTTCCTTGTCTAAAGTCAGTTTAACTCCCTCATCAAGCTCACATCTTTAGTCAAATGGAGCGGCACAATAGTACTACATCTCAAGTCACCTGGGGAACTAGATCTATGGAATAGAACTGATATCCAGTTATTGCTGTACTTCTAATTATTGGTTTTAAAAAAGCTCTTGCTGGCCCAATAATTTAAGCAGTGTTTGGTTGGCTAAATTATTCTCATGAAAGCCTGCTAGTAGTCAACTTATGGAAGGGACCTAGCAGTCCTCCAATACTCATATTCTCTCATCAAAGGCTCTTCAAGAGAGGCTTGTACTAAAGGAGCAAAAGCAAGGATCCTAGGGAAGGTAGGATATCATCCACTGCAACCAAGGTTGCTGAGGAACTCCCTTTCCAGAGGGTAGCATGTAGGCTCTGTATAGCAACCTCTGTATAGTTGTTTTCTTCCTCAACCCTGAGGAAATATTTTTGTTTAGAGTTTTGTATCCCTTAAATGACAAAGTCATAATATTTTACACAGGCTACAGAAAAGGCAGCTATTGGTATAAGTGACCTGCTCCATTTTCTGACCTGGAAAAGTTCAGCCAACGTCAGGTAGCCATGTGTTTCTGTTTGCTAGGCTTCAATATCACTGATTAGTGTGTTCTCGGTATAGCACAAGATAGGTAACAATTCCTGAGATGAAGAAATTCTCCCTGATCTACTGTGGGGTGGAGTGACAACACAAGACATAACTATGCAAAGAGTGTAAGATATTCTGAATTAAGAGATTCTAAAGGACAAGAAAAGGTTAGAAGAGGTCAATGGGGGAGGATGGTAAAGGGGACATATGTAACACTTCCAACAATAAAGATTTCATTAATAAATTAATAAATAAGAAGAAAAAGCCTATTTCTTCTCCCTTATTCTCCTATCTCCTCTAGAAAGTATAGCAAAGAATAGCTGCATGCTAATAAAGTGATAATTAAATCAATTAACATTTAGTTAGTTGAAGGAGTTGTGAGACTGTGACAGTCGATATGTAAACACTAAGAGCTAATGGTTGGTTAAATGATCAATTATACACCAAATTTCTCAGTGCCTTTTTTCCATGCCTGTACTACACAGCCTTGTACCCCTACTAGGAACAAAGAAGGTACCCTAGCTTAAGAGACAAGTCTAAGATCTTTCCCCAAATTTGTAAAGGAAGCTTTGTATAGTACAGACTTAAAAACAATAAATAGAAGGGCCAGAATCCAATTCTAACCCAAAATTAAGAATATGCTGGGACTCCAGTCAGAGTGGGAAAGTACCACAGATTCCAAACAGAGGATTGACCATGGCCCTGAGGGAAAAGGAAAAATGAATTCCAATTAGAAAAATTAGAGGTCACTGCTTTGCAGGTAACAGTGGCAGATAGAGTAGAGAGGGCTGTCTCCTCGTCCTAGTCACTACTGGGATACTCTGCTTCAGAAGGCTCTAGTTTGCTTTTCATGATGTTTTTTGTTTTCAGTTGTTTCATGTAGGTGGAGAGAAAACAACCATAAATACACCTTTCCTAGAAGTTACACAACAGACACTAAGATTTTTTGGGAGTACTTAAGACTTTCTGTCTATATTTCTTTCAAGGCAGTATGCATAATAGCAAGTCAATTATCTGACAGGGATATTGTCATTGAGGAAACAGGACTCTGTATTCAACAGGAGTGTTTCTCGGAATGACATACCACATTCATTAATTTCAGAATCATCTAGTACAGCGGTTCTCAACCTGTGGGTCGCGACCCCTTTCACAGGGGTCGCCTAAGACAATCCTGCATATCAGATATTTACATTACGATTCCTAACAGTAGCAACATTACAGTTATGAAGTAGGAACGAAAATAATTTTATGGTTGGATCACAACATGAGTAACTGTATTTAAAGGGCTAGAAGGTTGAGAACCACTGATCCAGTACTTCTTAAAAAAACAAATAGCCCTAACCAGTTTGGCTCAGTGGATAGAGTACTGGGTCCCGGGTTCAATTCCGGTCAAGGGCATGTACCTTGCTTGGGGGCACATCCCCAGTGGGGAGTGTGCAGGAGGCAGCTGA